TTTTTTTTTTCCTTGGTGGCTGGCCAGCAAGGGGTTTTGAATCCATGACCTTAGTGTTACAAGGCTGTACTCTAACCAACTGAGCTAACTGGTCAGGCACAACTAATGTTTTTAAACATCACTGAAGAAAGTGGCAAAACTTTTCTCATAAAAATTGCATTGTTTTTCTTTATTTCGTACTTATTCTTTAAGTTAGAATAATGGTCACTTTTTTTGATAGTATATATGATATTGTAGGAGATTCATTTTGAAATCTTACCGAATTGTAGAGTTGTCTTAAACAGTATAAATAAGTTGCTATTTTATGTACCAAAGTTAACTGAAGCTGATAATTAGAAAGACACTTGGAAATTAGGAGCTTTTAATTTAACTAACCCACCTACTTCATAACTTTACCCACATAAATACTTTTATGAAAATTTTATAGGAACTATTATGAGAATTAAATCCCCAATAATAAAAAGTTTACTGTGTACTTAATTCTAGTCTTTATAGGATAAAAGGTGCTACTGCATTCATCTTTATGTTTTTCATTATTCTATAGTGGGGAAATATTTTCCATTCGTCTAAAATCTCAGAGTCAAAAGGCAAGCAAATTTTCTATAATAGCCACTTTCTATCTATTTACTTTCCAACATATGCATATTCAGTCATTACTTGTGAAAGATTTTGAATATAGGTACTGGGACTATAAAGACTTTTAAGACAATCTCTGTACTAATGAATTTCCAGGCTAGTCAGTGAAACCAAACTAATAACTATCCTTTACCACAGTGAATACAGTGATGGAGGAATATCTAAAGGTATCTATTCTCCCCTTAATGTATATATTTAACATAATCTCAAATCAAATTTTCTACAGAACTGTATTAGAATCTGATGCAATAATTCTGAAATTGATTCAAAAGAATAAACACTTGAGAACAGCAAAGAATAGTTTGAAAAAGAGGAGGAGTGAGGGTAGTCTTGCCTAAAAAGATAGTTAATCATTACACATTTTAATACTACATTATCTAAAAGAAGTATGGTACTAGCACAGAAACAGAGATCGTTGGAAGGAAAGACAAGTGCAGAAACAGACCTGAGCAGATCCAAGATTCTAATATATGATAAAAGTGGTATTTCAAACAAATGAGTAAAAGATGAATTAGAAATGCTAAGATATTTTGAATAAAAAAAAGAGATTAACTGGAACATTTTAGAGAAATAAATAAAATTAGGTTCCCACCTCACACCAAACTTTAAAACAAGGAATCAAAGAATTTGAAGAACATATGGGTGAATCTGTAATTTTGGAATGGCTAAGGACTGCCTAAAGCATGACAAAAATTATTAAAAATTTAAAAAGCAGTTTACATTAAGTAGAAAAAAATGTCAGTTGGGCAAAAGAAGAAAACAAAAATGCAAAAAGCATCATAAAGTTAAAGGAAAATGAAAAGCTGAGAAAAACACTTGTAAATATCCAACTGTGGAGGGTTAGAAATATTGATTCTCATTTGATTTTAGAATAGGGTTTTTAGGTAAATGCACGTACAGGGCAAAAGCTCTCGGGTAGGGGGCCACAGCCCACAGATAGTGTGGCAAAAGCCTATTTAATCAATTCTAATCACTGCGTAGGTACGGGATTGTATACTTTAATGATTTTAGAGCAACAGGTGGTTGTCATACTTATCCTGTTAAGAGATTTTAAGAATTGCTGTAGGGAAGGATGTAAAAAAAAATATTTGCTAGGGGTAAGCTGTCTGTTGGGAGAAACTTCAGAAATAATTATACTTAGATTTTATCATAAGAATGTAACTTTTGCTTAAGGAGAGGTTATACTTTAGATAATGAGCCAGTTCGACCAACTTAGCTTTTCACTAATTGTACTTTGGAATGTCATATTGTTAATTTTACTGATGTTACTAGTTTCCAGTTTTTAAGCCACACATAACTTTTGTAACACTGCCCATGTCCTTGTGTCCCTCTGTAATGATTGAATCAACTGAATTTTCTTGTGAAACTTCCTTGTCTTTACAATAAAAAACAGAAGCTAACTTTGAATCACGGCTGCTGTACCCAGTTTTCTCCTTCCCACAGGGGAGTTGCTGGGGTACAGACCCTGTGGGCTTCTCATTGCATTCACGGTGCTTTGAGTAATCCTTTGTCTTCATTACACAGTGAAAAGTGTAACATAACAGATCAAGTGTTAATATCTTTAATATATAAAACTACTGCAATGTAAAGAAGCATTGTAATACAGAGTGTTATTTCCTAAGTCTGATTTATATACATCACTAACAGCACCTGAACTAATTTTGTTTTACATTATAATTTTAATAATCTATTTGTATATTTTTAAAATTATGAATATAATATTAAATATAAAAATTACATTAAATCTGTCATTTTACATATAATATTGCTTTAGATGAGACCAAGTTGGTTGACTTACTTTTAAAATAATATTTATTTTTGAAATATAAATGCTCACTATAAAAAATTCAAGCAAAACGGCAAAGTACATAGAAACATTTTAGAAACAATCTAAAATCTCATCACTAAAAATGACCAGTGCTCACATTTGGTGAAAATTATTGGAAAAGAGGTGTTAATGATCTAAATAGTAAGTCTAGATAAGTAGATATAAGTGAAATTGTAGTATTAAAACAGAGACTGAAGATGGCCTGGCCTAACACAGCTTTGTGCTAGGGAGATCCATCCACTGACTGAAAATGAAGACAACACACCTTTTCTTAAATATTAAAATTGTTTATATGCTTATATTAGTACTGTAGTCACAATCACTGGTCCAGGTGTTTGAGCTAACCTTTATGCTAAATTCTGTAGTATAAAAAAGTTATTAACATTTTTCTAAAAAAAACCACAAAAGCCAGAAAACAAAACACACACACACACAAACACACACACTTTTAAAAATTCCAGCCATTTCTTCCCTAGGAAGGTGCAAAGATACTTAAATGAAGAAAATCCATCCATCCACTCACCTACCTTGACTAAATTTTCTTAATATTTACTCTGTGCCAGGTACTGCCACAAATGAAATACTCTCAATTTAATTAACTTTCAAAAAAATGAAAACAGTAATGCTTATAGCATGGGTAACAAACTGGCGGGGGACTTTAGAGGTGTGGTTTAGGGACACAAGTGAGGTATGAGAAAATATCACCATCTGAGAGTGTTGTAGGGCTGTGGTCCTCAAAGTGAGGTCCCCAGACTGGCAGCATTAGGAATCTGAGAACTTGAGAGAAATGCAAATTTTCAGGACCCATCCCAGACTTAATGAATCAGAAAATCTGGGGGTGGGCCCAGCTATTTGTGTTTCAACAAGCCCTCTAGGGAATTCTGGTGGTCAAGTGTGAGAATCTTATATTTACAAAAACAAGCTCAGTATCACCATTTTGCTCAGGAGGTTGACTAGCTTAGATCTGGGTCTGTGTAGTTTGTATTTCTGCTCTAGTTGCAATTTTATAAAGTCCACTTAAAGGAAAAAGGGAAATAATAGTACTGGTGTAGTGGTTAAAAATAAGGACTTTGCAGTGAGGCTCAGGTTGGAATTCCTGCTCCACCCTTACTTGCTGTGTTATCTTCTCAAAACCTCAGTGTTCTCATCCTGGGATACCATCATCTACCTCAAAGGGTTGGTGATGATTAAATGAGATGAAACAAGTAACACACTTAGCACAATGCTTGGTATATAGTGAATACTCACATTATTATTAAGTCAATAATGAAGAGAAATACTACTATCAGAAAACAGACTAAGAACATGAACAGACGATTCACAAAAGAATAAGTACAAATGGGAGGAGAAAAGAATAGTTAAATTTAATAAACAGTTAAATGCAAAGTAAAGATGTGAATATCACTTTTACCCTATCAAACTAGCAAAAGGATAAGAAAAATATTAATACTCTGTTGGCAAGGGTGTTTCATAATTTGAATCTTCACACACTGTTAAGAAGACTGTAATTATTACAATCTTACTAACGGTGTAGAGGACTTTTGTATTGAGATAAGAATAAAAAAGAGATAAGATAAGATAAAAGAGATACATAAGATAAGAGATAAGAATACCTGGAATCACACTGTTAAGAAGACTGTAATTATTACAATCTTACTAACGGTGTAGAGGACTTTTGTATTCTACTCAAAGAGATAAGAATAAAAAAGAGATAAGATAAGATAAAAGAGATGCATAAGATAAGAGATAAGAATACCTGGAACAGAATATACTGAATAGTCAGATTAGGGTTTGCATAATCTGGAATGCACAGTCTGCCTGTCTGATAACCAAAAATCGTAATATTAGGGATTAACAGCTGGAACTGTTAATATGCACCTGTGATCCATAAGAGGGTAATGTTTGGATAGAAGACATACCTATGCAATAGTTCTCTAGGATTTTCTCACAAAGGCAGACTTCCTAATAAACCTGAAATAACTTATCCATAAATTTGAATAGCAATAGGGGCAAATTTGGCAACATTTACCAAAAAGCTTTAAAGTGCCCTTATCCTTCAACACAGAAATTCCATCAGAATTTATCCTAATAGAAATTTGAAAACAAGCTAGTTCAATAAAAGTAGATTCATGGATCTATCTACCTACCTACCTATCTGATGGAAAACCATGCAGCCCATTAAATGATGTTGCAGAAGAATATTCCTTTTCACAGAAAGACAGTTGCTTGAAAAAAATGTAGGGTACAAAAGAGTTTGTATAATTACATTAATATGTATAATAGTCATTTCTGGTGGACTGAATAAGGGATTTTTATTATTAATTTTGCTTATCTACTTTTTAATATTTCTCTATAATAGTTATTGCTTATACAAAGATAATGAAAGTTTTTTATTTTATTTTTATCCATTCATCTTTTTTTAATTGAATTATAATTGATTATACATATTTTGGGGATTCAATGTTGACATGTTGATCAAATCAATATTACTAGTATGTGTATTGTTACAAATTGTACTTATTCTTTATGTCCCTTGTCCAATCTCTCCCTATTCCCCTCTCCCTCCCCCCTCCCACCACTGATAACCCTAGATTTCTTCTCTCCCTCTGAAAGAGTTATTTTAAAATTTGAAGGCAGTTTCTCAATAAATGGCACAACTTTTTACAAAATTTGTATCACAGAGAACTAAAACACTTATTTTTCAGCCTCCAAACCATGATTATAAAATTATGGTTTTAGAACTTTTTTAGTGCTTATATTGGCAGACAGCATGGTAGGAATTTGTTGCTCATTTGCCAGGATAAAAATAACTAGTGCTGAGAAGGAGTTTGAAATGTCAAAGTGAAAAGCCAAAAGAATAGATTTCTTCTCACCATAAAGCTGCCACCTACCAAATAAAAAATGTGTAAAACATTCTGCATTTCTCAAACTTGAATAATGTATGTAACCCCGTATTTAAAAAATTTAGTAACATTTCTTAAAAAGGAAAAAATTTAGTAAAATTCAGTAAACATTTTTTAAAAAGGAAAAAATACATAGAGAAAAATGTACATAAAAAGTTACTCTGCCTCCCATCCCTGTCCTCCAAGCACTCATTTCCTCTTCCCAGAGGCAACCACTGTTACTAGTTTCTTATACATCCTGCAAATATTTTAAGGCTATATAAGCAAATATGTATGTATCCATTTTATTATTTTTACACAAATATTAGCATACTGTATACACTGTTCTGCACATTTCTTTTTTCCCTTGGCAATAGATTCTGGAGATCATTAAAAAGGCATGCCTGTAGATTAGCCTCATTTTATTCCATCATATAGCTGTAACACAGTTGTTTAACTGGTACTCCTATTTGTTATTATGGTGTAACAAAAGATCCCAGATAACAATACCCTTGTATACAGGTATAAATGTATTTGTAGGACAAATTCCTAGAAATGGAGTTATTAAATAAAAGTATGCATTTTTAACTTCTGACCAGCTATTATGCCATAAAGCCCTGAAGACAATGTCTGTGAATGTCCATTTCTCTGTACCCTCATGAAAAGTATATTACTAAACTTTGATCTTTGATAGTCTCACAGGTTCAAAATGGCATTTTTTAATTTTAATGCATATTTCTCTTATTACAAGTGAGATTGAGTCATTTGTATTTCCTTTCTTGGCAATGTCCCGTTCATTGTAGAACCCTTTTAAGAATAAAAAATTCTAGGGACAACTGCACATACTTCTGTAGGCCCTTTTATTGAAGATATAAAACTTTACTTATTAAAATTACTTTCAATTGAAACTCTCAGTAAAAGAGAAAACTGTGTTTATAACTGATAGGATTTTAAAGATAATCTCAAAATTGAAACATCGAAATTAAAAAATTTTTAAATCTCCACAGATCACTCACTCCACACCTCTCCCACAACTCTCCCTGGTCTCCAGTTTGAGAAAAACCAGTTTTGTCAGAAACTTCCAGGCAGAAGTTTTCTATCATAAGATGACCCAAGCCCATTGTTATCAACTATTTTATCCTTCCCATTTCTTGCCACATCTCTTCTTTCTCACAGAGCTTCTCAGCTCTGGCTTCATTTGGCTCAATCGTGTTTTTATATCTTGGTTACTCTTCCCAGTCAGAAAACCTTACTGGCTATGTTTAAGCTAAAGAAAACCTTTTCCAACAAGCTTTTGATCACAAAGCCTACTCAAAACCTCTGTATTCCATAAACCCTCAGAAAAGTACAAATACAAGTTATTTTATATACAAAAGAGTACTTCAAAAGGTTCATGGAAAGAGTTGTATCTCTACTTTTCCACAAATTTTTTAAGTACCCTCATATATTTATATATATGAAATACAAGGGTGCTAGTATATGTGTCTGTGTTAGTACATGTGTGTTAGTGTAAAGTTATCTGTTTTATTCATATATATTCCATCTTCCCACCTAATCTCTGAAATCTTTGAGGTTTCTTCATCCTTATCCCACTTTAACAAATAAAATCTGCCTGATGGTCCAAGTAGCCATAGCTATCATTAGCTACCACATTGTGCCACTATTGTGCTCTCCAGATTTTTATTTATCTCATAAGAAACTAACCTCAGTTGCTTCTGCTGGCTTAATTTCATTTAATTTCTGCTAGATGGATTGCCTTACTAGGGAAAGTATGCTTTACTCATCTTGGTTTGAAGTCACATTTGCCTATACATGTGAAAATAGAGTTTATGTGGATTGCAATCAGGATTTCCCTTTTTCACACAGCAGCTGAAGCCTGGGCTCTGAAGCTGGATTGTGTGGGTTTGAATTTGGCCTCCACTCCTTACCTGTTATGTCATTTTTGGACAAATTGTTTAATACCTCTGACAACATCTTCTTATCTATATCAGAACTTACCCCTCAATATCCAAATGGCACCATCTAGGCTTCCACTTTTTAGGAAAATTTCTGCTGCAACATTCACAATTTGACATCTTGGTGCTAACTTCTCAGGCCCTGTAAGTCCTTTTAAACTTGTAAAATGTATTTTTAATTCATGTAGTTTATCTAAGACCTTCCTTCCCTAGAGTAAAAATAAAGAACACTAATTATCAATCATTTATAGTATTACAGAGACACAAAGTCACTAATAATCACTCAGAAGCCAATTACCCACTTTGAATCATCATACTAGACTGATGGTTGTCAAACTGCTCCAAGACTCTTTCTGTAAGCCCTTTCCACTCAGCCAGAAAGATGAAACGGGAAAGGGAACAAGAAGGGCTTTGCCTCATATTAACCACCACCACCAGGCTCCCTTTATCAGTAGTTAGTTCTCCTTTCATGTACTTTATACTCTGTGCTTCCCATTAAGATTTCATTTGGCAAAAGGATTTCATGCCTAAACATAGAAAATTACTGATTATGTTTCTGTTTCTCTTCTATTAACCAATATGAGATTGAGGATGGAAGGACAGTAAAAATGGAGATAATTAGTTATTAAATTTAGATTAAAAAGATAGTGAAAAAAAGGACAAAATGTTGGCTGAAAATTATTTTTCTGATTCAACAGACTATTTCATGTATACTACATGAAGACTGTCTTTGGTCCGGACATTGGAAATTGGACATATATTATTATTTTATACCACAGGTCAGCAAACTTTTCCTGTAATGTCCTGATAGTATATACTTTGGACTTTGCAGGCTACATTTGGTCTGATGCATATTCTTTTTGGTTGTTGTTTTTAATTTGTAACTCTTTAAAAATGTAAAAAACATTCTTAGCTTGAGGGCTGTACTAAAAACAGGCTGTGGGAGAGATCTGGCCTGTGGGGCCTAGTTTGCAGACCCTTGTTTTATATTCTATACTATTTTGAGTCAGATGCTTATAATGTCCAAGTACTTCCAATTTGACTGTATAAATGAGTGCATTTTTCAAGGGATACCTTTAGTTTAACTTCAATGGTTTTACTTTTATGTTCAAAAAGGAATAGGCTTTACAAAAAAGTTCATACTAAATAAGGTGATAGATAAAATGATAAAATAATCTTTCTAAATAAGATAATTGAAAAATTTTAATTAAAATTAAAAAAATCTCACCAACCTCTTAATGTCGTAAGAAATACCAACCAAATAAAATTAAAATATACTCAGTCTGAGTTTTCAAAAAGGGTCTTCTTGTTAGGTAGTCCCCAAATTCCCAAGCATTAAATATCCAAGAAATTAATGCTATGACCAACCTTAAGCTAGATAGTGAGAGCAGGGACAAGGTACACCTTGCCGACCCCAGGCCTACCACATAAGTGCTCAACCTCCTAGAGACCTGCTGTAGAACCATTCTGAGTTAAAATTTTTTTTTTTACTTCATGAATTTTGTATATATACAAGTGACCATGTACTTAAATGTTACTAAACACGTATTCAATTGTGAAATAACCTCTTTAGAAAAAGTAGCAAGTAACAAAAGATACACTTTAATAGTTAATTCAACAGTGACTACACTCTCTCAACTACTCTACTCTCTATATAACTCCATCCCTCAGCACTTCCTCTCTATTTTGGATTTTCCTGTCCTCCACTTGAATTTTGAGTCTATAACCCCACTTGCCACCTCAGGGAGATCTAACAAATGGTAGGTTGTACAATATGGTCTTGGGTCACTTCTCTATTTTGGATTTTCCTGTCCTCCACTTGAATTTTGAGTCTATAACCCCACTTGCCACCCCAGGGAGATCTAACAAATGGTAGGTTGTACAATATGGTCTTGGGTCACCAGACCACTTCTACAGTGAGCTAAGCCTCTAAGTTAGACAAAATACATAGTATATAGTGTTCTAGAGCATTCTAAGAGGTAATTTTTAAGAAGTCCTGTTAATTGTGAGAATCCTAAATTCATCTTAAGAAAGGTGTCTTGAACTCTTCCAAAACTACAATGCTATACACGCAGGAGTTGGCAAAATAAATTGAATTTAAAGTTACTTCAAATAAATATGACATTTATCGCAGCTTCATAAGTGTTCCCTACACTGACATTCTAAACAGAAGTCAGTCTCATGCCACTTCCTTTCCACAACTAATAATGTACTTTCTAGTCTGGGTCCCATTTTGTCACTGTAGTGATTATTAACAAATTCCTAATTTGCAGGGTTAACTTATATATTCTGTTCATAATTTTAGAACTAACACTCTCTATGCCAAGTCAAAACAAAAATTTAATGAAGTACCTTGGACCACTGCAACAGCTTGTGATAGAAATAAATGGCATTGATTCCAATTCTTCCCAACAAAGTTTTATCTACTTTGCTATTCTGTGGATCTTTGCTAACTGAAACACAAAGAAGGCATATGGAAGAAAAGAAAATAAGTCACTTTAAATGATGGAAAAGCAAATTAATACAGAATTATTGATACTGCTACAAACATCAGGTGTCAGCAAACTATGGCCCATGGGCCAAATCTAGCCTGTGGGCCTGTGTTAGCCTGTGAGCTAACAATGGTTTGTTTATCTATCTATCTAATCTATCTATCTTATCTATCTTATCTTATCTTATCTTATCTTATCTTATCTTATCTTATCTATCTATCTATCTATCTATCTATCTATCTATCTATCTATCTATCTATCGTTTTAAAAGATGACTAGTAAAGGGATCTTAACCCTTGACTTGGTGTTGTCAGCACCACACTTTCCCAAGTGAGCTAACTGGTCATCCCTATATAGGGATCTGAACCTGTGGCCTTGGTGTTATCAGAACCACACTCTCCCAAGTGAGCCACAAGCCAGCCCGTTTTTTAATTTTTAAAGGATTGTATAAAAATAAAAATAAAAAAACCCCAAAAAACTATGTGATAAGATCATCTGTGGTGTGTACGAAGACTAAAATATTTATTATTATTTGACTTTTTACAGAAAAAGTAATCCGTGGTAAAGAATATAGTAATGAAGAGCTAATGCAAAAAAAAAAAAAAAAACACCTCAAAATTATATTAATTTTGTTGATTTATATTAGTGAAGATAGTAACATCTAGTAATTAAAAAATTCAGATGCTGCAGTATAATTTGCAATAGTTTTATGAATCTGAACAAAAAGAAAAATAACATGAAACATTTGATACTAAAATACCAATTCTTAACCTTATATCATTATAATCTAATAATAAATAGAAAAAGTCATAAAGAGGAGCATCTGAAAACTGCAACATTAATATATCTACAACATGAATTTGATACTAAAATACCAATTCTTAACCTTATATCATTATAATCTAATAATAAATAGAAAAAATCATAAAGAGGAGCATCTGAAAACTGCAACATTAATATATCTACAACATGAAAAATATTAAGAGCTTTACACTCCTGTTAAGAACATTGCATTGTCCTAACACACAGTACTCAGACCAAAACAGTGACATTTTACCTGTTTCAGCAAATTCACAAAAAGGAACACATGGTCTTTCTTTACAGTCTTTTGTTAGTGTTTCAGCAATACAAGTACAAAATTTCTGGAAATCCACAAATTTTTCACAGCTCATTTTTACATTAATGTATAAATTTCCCAATTTGGTCCAGTCACCTTTTTCCTTACAATGCTATCAAAATTATTAAAAACAAAACAAAAAAAAGAAAGAAATAATAAAAACTATACCATTTATGCAAAAATATATTATGGGCCAGGCACATGTACACATTAGATATACTGAAATTAATGACATAATCCCTTCAAATCTCATAAACTTACTGACAAGCATCACATCAATAATATACTATTGTAACTTCACTTTTTCTGACTATAGCAAAGCCTCTATAAATTCCAGACAGCAGTGCACATTTGTTTTAATTATCTAGTTCCTAAAGCATTTAATGACATTACCCCCAAACCTGAACTTGACAGTGGAAATGGATTTTATGGAAACAGATGATAAACAGCATGATTTGAGCTCTCTCTACAGCAATACATATCATTTTGAGCATTACATTTCTACAAAATGGGCTACAAAAAAAAAATGTCAGTAAATATATCATCTTCCTATTTTCTATAACAAACTAAGAAATAGTTTTCCACAACAAAAAGTTGTTTCAAGGATATTAAGATACTAATTAAAACTAGACCAACAATTAATAGATTAACACAAAAATCACCCTGAAAGTTCTCTATTTCTTATACTCTAAATGCTTGGAAAGCACAGTGTGATCCTGGCTTTTCCCCATCATTTCACATATTGCAATCATTCATGACAAGAAAGCAAGCTTTCCTTTGCACTGAGTGAGTCTGCCCAGCCATAAGAATGAAAGATTAGGTTTTGGATTATTATTATTATTATTTTACTTAAGTTAATTTTGAAACAATTATTTTTAGAATCACTTTTAGAAAAGTTCACAACTCTAGAAATTATGTTTTCATTTAAAAATACTAACTTGTTAAAAAAAAATCAAACTTCTTTTCCAAGAGTATTTTCTCTGTATAACATCCACATTTCTAAAACTTTCTAAATTGAATTATTATTTAAACTTTGTTTTTGATTATCAGAAATCCCAGCAATTTATTTAAATAATAAATGTCATACCTCTATTTCATTCAAAGCTGAATCTAAGTCACACTTCCAGTTCTTAAATTGCCTCATCTGTAATCTTTAACAATAGAAAAGGGTTAATTATGCTTACATTCACCCCCCGAAAGTCATGATTGCTCCTAATTAACTTGTTCTATTGTTTATCCCTAAGAGACCTGAGAAAAACGAATTGATATACTCTAAAAATCCTGTAAAGTTGAAGAAAATGGCAATTGAATAGGTACCTACCTTATGCTATTTCCTCCCCAAACCACAGGCAACATTATAAGAAGGAAAAAGGAAATTCCACATGAAACCATACCTTCAGCCTAACTTGAAGACAGAGAGTGCTAAAACTTCAAAATAAATGTGAATGAAAAGTGAAAAAAGCACCAAATTCTAGCACAGGATCTCTACTGCTGATACCCCACTCTCACTGCTCCACAAGGATTTGTAGCAAGCAAACAGAGACAAACAAAAGCAAAGCAAGCAAACAAACAAAATTTGTGTGGGATAACTGAAGAGGGAAACTACCAGAAGGACCTAACATTGATTAAAAAATACTGCCACAAAGGCTAAGTCCACACTAAGTTTGAAAATGCTAAAATAAAATATCTTGCTAGATCAGAACACAGACCACAGAGAAAGAACTTTTTGTGTGATTTAAAGAAGGTAATCTTTGAAATGTATAGTTTTTGGGAAAGGAAAAAAGAAAATTGAAAGAAGCACTCTTTGGCCTCTGGAAAGAGGAAATGAAGAAGGGGAAAAAAGAAGGTGCCATTAAAGTAGTAGTTCTGTACAATACCCAATTGTGGGGTCAATTTTGGCAATTAGTCCCAAGGTTCTATAAACTATTTCAAGGCATTAAGAAGAAAGGAAAACTTCCTAATTTCTTTTATGAAGTATAACATTGATGTTTAAACTAGATAGGACAAAGAAAGAAAACTAAAAAGATTATTGGTCATGAATGGTGATACTAAAAAAAAAAAAAGAAAAATATTAATAAACAGGATCCAAGACCACATTAAGAAAATAATACAACATGACCAAGTAAAATTTATTTTAGGAATGCAAGCAAAATTCAGTATTAGAAAATCTATCCGTATCATGTGCCAAATTAATAGAGCTAAGGAAAAAAATCATGACTAATTCCATAGGTACTGAAAAGGCTATTCATAAAATTCAACAATTCATGATAAAAACACTTTAGAATGTAGGAACTGAGGGATACTTTCTTAAAATCATTAAATATACATACCTCAGTGTGAAAGCCAGTATTATATTTAGTAAAAAAATTTAGAGGCATTTCCACCAAGACCAGGAACAATGCAAGGATGTCCACTATATCCATTTATTATTCAACACTGTACTAGAGGTATGAGCCAATGCAATTAGATAAGACAAATCACTTAGAGGCATAATGGTGAAGAATTAGTAAAATCATCTCTATTAGCAGATGATATTATAGTACAACTGGAAAACCTCATAGATTCCAGGATGAAATTAACTCAAATAATAAAAATTTCATAATAAAGTAGCAGAATATAAAATTTACAAACAAAAATCAACAGCCCTTATATATATAAAAACCAAAGAGTAATAATGGTATTGAAAATCTAATCTACAATAGCAAGAAAAATATGAAATACTTATATAAGGAAATTATGAAATATTGCTGAAAGACACAAAAGTAAACTTGAACAAACAGAAAGACATTCCCGGCTCTTGAACAGAATGATGCAACATTATAAAGGTGTCAATGTTCACTAAGTTAATTCAGGGGCCGGCCTGTGGCTCACTCCGGAGAGTGTGGTGCTTATAGGCCATGGGTTTGGATCCCATATAGGGATGGCTGGTTCGCTCACTGGGTGAGCGTGGTGCTGACTAAGTTAATTCATAAGTTTAATGCAATTACAATAAAAATACCAACAAGCTACTATATGGAGTTAGGAAGTTGATACTAAATATATGGGAAAGCACACATGCAAGAAGAGCCAGGAAAATGCTGAAAAAGTATGAAAGGGGATCATCCTTACCAAATATTAAAACATACTATTAAAGCCTCTATAATTAAAGTGGTACTAGTGCAGGAATAGACAGTTCAGTGCAATAAAATACAAAGTCTAGAAAACAGACCCAAGCACATATGAAATTTAGTATATGATAAAGGTGGCATCTCAAATCACTGGAAATAAAGATGGACTTTTTGATAAATGTTGCTGGAAAAGTTGGATAATCATTTGGAAAAGATAAAATTAGATTCATATTTTACAACATATGTAAGAATAAACTCTGATTAGAAAACTAACTCTAAAAATAAAATCATACAGATAATAGAAAATATGGGTAATTTCCTTTAAAACCTTGATATAGAGAAATTATAACTCAAAATAGAGGTGATAAAAAATAACCTTGACACAAAACTGACACAATAAAAAAAGATGAATACATTAGGTTGCCTAAAAATAAAAGTTTATGTATGGCAAAAAATGCCATAAAGTCAAAAGACAACTGACAACCTAGAAAAAAATTTGCAGTATATACTACAAAGGCCTAATATCTGCAAAATGTTAAGAACTCTTAAAGCTTAAGGAACAAAGATTGCAAACCCAACAGAAAACGGGGAAAAAGATATGAGCAGACAATTCACACAAAGGTGTAAAATATAGCCCTCAAATGCTTGAACAGAAAATGCTCAAACTCATGCAACAAAGATTGCAAACCCAACAGAAAACGGGGAAAAAGATATGAGCAGACAATTCACACAAAAGGTGTAAAATATAGCCCTCAAATGCTTGAACAGAAAATGCTCAAACTCATGCATAATAAGAGAAATGCAAATTAAAACACAAAAATACCATTGTTACTTAATGGATTAACAAAAATTAAAAAGTATTAAAACATTATGTTAGAAAGCTCGCTGAAATAGGCAGTCTGATATTTTTCTTGTGAGAATACACAATGGTACAACCCTTCGAGAGGGAAATTTGGCAATATCTCAAGTTATACATGTACTTACCTTTAAAAAATTTTTTATTTTGAAATAATTACATGCTCACAGGAATTTACAAAAATAGTACATAAAGCTCTGTCTACCCTTCACCCAGGTTCTTCCAATAGTGACATCTTGTGTGATTGTAATAGAGTACAACATCAAAACCAGGAAACTGACATTGGTATAATACTGTTAACTAAACTATAGATCTTATTCAATTTTCACCACTTTTTACATGCATTTGTGTGTGCGTTTTAGTCCGTTTTGTGTTCCTATAACAGAAATACCTGAGACTGGGTAATTTATAAAAGAAAGAGGTTTATTTGGCTTACGATTCTGGGACAGCTGCATCTGGCACAGGCCTCAGGCTGCTTCTACTCATGGTGGAAAGTGGTGGGCAGCCAGTGGGTACAAGCAGATCACATGGTGAGAGGAAGCAAGAGAGAGAGAGAAGGTGCCAGGGTCTTTTTAAAATGAACTCTCGCGGGAACTAATAGAGCAAGAACTCACTCATTAATCCTCCCTCCCCCAGGGAGAGCATTAATCCATTCATGAGGCATCCGCCTCCATGACCCAATCAGTTTCCAGCACTGCCACATTGGAGATCAAATTTCCACATGAGTTTTGGAGGGGGCGACACATCCAAACTCCATCAGTGTGTCTAGTTCTATGTAATATAACCCCATGATGGACCCATGTAACCACAACCATTCCATCACCACAAAGGAAATTCCTTATGCTAGCCTTTTATACTCAACCCCCATGCCCTGTCCCTGACCCCTAGCAACCACTATCAGTTCTCCATCTCTTTAGTTTTGTCATTTTGAAAATAATACTTTTGTGTAAATGAAATTGTGCAGCATGTAGCCTTCTGGGATTGGCTTATTAAGCTCAGCATAATTCCCCTGAGATCAACCCAAGTTGTTCCGTGTTTCAATAATTTTTTTTTTCTTTTCTGAGTAGTATTCCATGTATCAATTTACCACAGTTAAACTACTCATTCACCTGTTAAAGGACATCTGCTTTTTTTCCCAGTTTGGGGCTACTACAATTAAAGCTGCTATGAACATTTGTGTACGAGTTTTTACGTGACCAAAAGTTTTCATTTCTCTAGGATAAGCACTCAGGAGTTCAATAGCTCTATCTGGCACTTGCATGTTTAGGTTTTTTTTTTTTTTTTTTTTTTAACTGCCAAACTACTTTCCATACTGGCTGCACCATTTTATTTTTTTTTATTTTTATTTGAACTTCTCAATATACTTTGTAGTTGGTTTTCATGTCTTTACCCATTCCTCCTTTTTCTCCTCCCTCTCCCCACACCTGCCATTATATCCGTTCGCTTGTCTTAAGTTCAAGGAATTGTGATTATTACTGTTGTGTCTTCTTCCTCCCTCACCCTTTGTTTGTATATTTATTTATTTATTTATTTATTTTTAACTCCCACAAATAAATGAGAACATGCGGTATTTCCCTTTCTGTGCCTGACTTGTTTCACTTAATATAATTTTCTCTAAGTCCATCCATGTTGTTACAAATGGTAGTATTTCATTCTTTTTTATACCAGAGTAGTATTCCATTGTGTAGATATACCACAGTTTCCTTATCCACTCATCCGATGATGGACATTTGGGCTGGTTCCAACTCTTGGCTATTGGAAATAGTGCTGCAATAAACATGGGAGTGTAGGTATCCCTTCAGCATGATGATTTCCATTCCTCTGGGTATATTCCCAGCAGTGGAATAGCTGGGTCATATAACTCTATCTGGCATTTGCATGTTTAGGGTTTTTTTTTTTTTAACTGCTAAACTGCTTTCCATAGTGGCTGCACCATTTTACATTCTCACCAACAACATATGATACAGTTTCTCCATATCCTACCAGCATCTGGTGTTGACACAATTTTTTATTTCTCTCATTCTGATAGGTATAAGGTGATATCTCATTATAGTTTTAATCCGCATTTCTCTTATGAGATACAGTTTCTCCATATCCTACCAGCATCTGGTGTTGACACAATTTTTTATTTCTCTCATTTTGATAGGTATAAGGTGATATCTCATTATAGTTTTAATCCGCATTTCTC